ACAGTCTATCAAAAGCTACCAAGAAATTCAACATCTCTCTCCCAATTTTTTTGAGATCGAGAAAAAGAATTTTTTGTTTGATCAAATATGAGTTTTGAATGGATTACTTTATGTTTGTGGTGTAATAGTAAATTATTTTACATAACAAAAATATAATAAAAATCTATTTATATAATTTTACAAAAGATTATTTAAGAATTACTCATGCTCAATCACTTTTTTACGTACAAATCTCATCAAAATATAGTCTTCATATTTCCTATTAAATTATAATTCATTTTTCTATCTCTTCTTATCAACCAAACATTCTTCACTAAAATAATATTACTCATAAATTCAAAATTTTTTCATTCATTTTTAACTACACATTCTACAAAAAATTACTATTCCTCTCATTATAACGTGGAATAATAGGGTTAAACGGGCACATAGCATGTGAGAAGAAAATTGTGTAAATGTTCAAAGGATGGTGGGTTTTTCAAAATTTTTACTGTACTGAAATATAACTGTATTTTTCCTTTATCTATATATTCGGAATTATATTTTAATCTTTATTTTTGCATTCGTGTGCGTATATAACTTCCATTTCCATTTATTTTCACAAATTTTTTTCTATTTTTTTTTATTTTTTGAGTTTGTTTTAATCAAAACTTGATTTTTTTGATTGCATACTACGTTTTGTCGGCCCGACTTCTCGAGTTCATCTCAAATCCCAAAATTCCATTTACGGCCCTGGTAAGATTCATGTGGATTTGATTACTCGGTGAATTATTATTGAAATACATTTCATTGTGTTAAACCATTCGTGGACTAGTTCCAGAGCCGATCCTGTGATTGTCGGGGCCTGAGGTGAATTTCATAAATTAGGCCCCCAACGAAATTGACGTAAATGCAAAATTCAACGGTATATCATGCGACTTATTGTTAACTTAAAATTAACATTAAAACAACCACCAAATACATTATAGAAAAGATTTATATTATAATTTAACAAAATCAACCATGTTTCAAACAATTAGTTAAATAACCAATCATATAAGCCGATAGGCCGCAATTATATAAGCCAACAAGGCTTCAAACATTTCCAATATTTTCAATAACAAGTTAAAGCAAGCCATTGCTTACCTGAGAAGTGGAATTTCAACGACAATTGTGAAATTACACCTTTGACAATTCCATCGTCACAGCTCACAAGCCTGAAATAAAAATTTAAATAAAATCAAAGATTTTAATCATAGAGTGAAGGAAATTGTTCCAAGAGTGGAAGTACAAATTAAGAAATCAGCATATTTGACTAAAGATTTATTCACTGCTTTAACTTACACATTATCAAATTTAAGTCATTATGATACTTTAACTTACATATTATCAAATTTAAGTAAAATTAAATTTACGGCATTGTTGCATTGTAAGAAGTTATCTAAATAAATTGATTCAATTCCTTTAATTAATACCGTAATAGATCTACATTTGATTTGACAATCATACATTTATAGAAGAAATTCATAAATGTGTCTTAACATGCTTAATGCCTTAGGTAAATACAAATTTATGAACAAAACGATGGATAAAATATGGTTTGAAGTGAAGTAACAAATCATGGTGTCCAAGTGGTAAATGGTAATCATGCCAAAATACAGACAATTAGATGAATTATATATAATCTTGCCTAATTCGCCAGTTTCTCAGAAGAGAAGACAGTGCACTTTTATTAGTTTATATTTGAGTATTTGACATTTTGACCCTTCATTTTCCTTCCTAGACAGAATCCTGATTTTTGGGTACCATAGGAACCAAATGAAATCACCACTAAAAATCTATAATCTATGAAATTCTACAAATCTAACAATCACATATATATAATAAAGACAACCCTGTTGATAAAATTCATCAAATCAATGGAAAAAGTTTAGAACCGAACCGAAAAATCAAGAATGGAGACAAGAGTCAAGAGAACTAGAGTTACTACTTACTAATACTAGACAAGGAGTTGCTGCCTTGCTGGAGCGGCGGAGCCTGTAGGCAAACGATGGCGTACGGGTGGAGGCGGACTAGCGGTGGCGGAGTGAGTGTGAGTTGAGTGACTAGAGTCGCAGAGACGAGATGAGGCGATGATTACGAACATTGAGCAAGCCTTGGGATTGAATAATTTCAATCCACATTTGGGAATTTTGGGATTGAATTTTGGGCAAATGGATTGAATTGGATATATAAATGGATTGTGGGTTGTTGTTTGAAATTGGGTCTAGGTGGTCCACTTCTCTTCTAGGCTTGTTTTGAAAAAATAAAAAATAAAAAAAAATAAATTTCTGGGCAAAATTAGGCCCCTTACAGTCTTGCGCCTGAGGTGGAGGCCTCATTTGTCTCGTCTCGGAACCGGGCCTAACTAGTTCCATGTGCCAATTATAGGCTTGAAGTTGACTTTAAAAAGAGAAATTGGTCGTAGCTAAAGGCAATTTTGCTAACATTACAGCCAAGAGAAATACAATACTGACTAGAAATATAGGAAAACAGGGATTTGGTTGGCCAACACCTATATTTATTGAAAATAATGCATAATTGTTTGTATATTTTCCTTTGTACAAACTTAGAAATCAACTAAGTCATTTTATCAATTTTAGGAGTCGTTATTATACACCATTTTTACGACTGATTCTGAAAGTGTTCGAATTAGATCCAGAAACAATTCAAATACTTTTAGTTTGTCATTGCTTACAGGTTATTAGACTGCTCAGAGGTGAAGAAAAAAACCTAAATTGTCCAAAGCAAATCCTTCGAAGGACATACTCAGAAGAACTTTTGGATGCAGAGAATTACAACTCGACTAAGTATTTGGTCCATCGTCCCCAACGAATTGCTTTGGTTTCGTGAGAGCAACTATAACTTGAGAGAAAAACAATATTTTGATGAAAAAAATAGAAATAATATGCTGTACATTCACGAAACCATTAAAAATGTTCTTGTATACTCTAATATTGTAGTTGTACTTTGTGTTATATAATAGGGATTTGAATCTTTTGGTTGATTGTAACCTTCCACCTTTCTTTAATTAACATACGTTGTAGTAATATGTACATACATAAGACCACAATAACTACTTTATCCTTACAAGTTGCATGGTTTCATGTGTACACACTTATCTAGACGTTTAAACTTGTGTCATATGAACGAATTGAGGCGATTTCTACTTAATTTAGTTTATGTATTGCTTTTAAAGGTGAAAACCTCGACTTGAAGGTCGAACTAGCGTAAAGAAGTTGAATTGGAACATAATTCGAGTTTTAAGGATGAACTTGACAAGATACTACGAATTGATTGGAAGCTTTAAAAGTACAAATTGGATGAATTAACAAGTTTTGGGAAGACTCTGCTATTGGAGAAGTTAGGGGACGAACTTGAACATTCTTAACACTTTAAAATGATAATTTTTTGTTAAAATAAAATAAAATAAAAGTTGATTCACCAAAGTAGAGGAATTTGGAAGATGAAGGATCAATATGGAAGCAATAGGAAGTGATAGGACCTAATTTGGGTGACTCAAAGTTGAATGGACCAAAAGTGTGTGAAAATCTCGATTTGGAGACCAAATTACAAAACAATCAGGGATTACACTTACATAGAAAAAAGTGGAAGTAGGGTTGTGGTCACAACAATGCTTCTCGCGATCGCAACTAGAGAAAAATTTAAAGGAAACACTTCTTGCTGGACTATTGAACTTGTACAATAGAATACTTATGGTGGTCTTAGGGATATAATATTTAACCCCAGTTTGATTGGGAATAAAATTAGATTTTTCTAAAAATTGATAAAAATATTTGGTTGAAAAATTATGTATCCTATAAAATATATGGTTGAAATTAATTATTAATTTTTACTTATATTAAAATCTAAATTTTAATATCTACCGATCAGGGACTTACTTCTGAGTAAGGACATAATCATCATTTTAAAAACATGACTTGTAATTGTCATTGATTTTTGTTATATACATATTTAGCCCTTGTTTGAGCTCCCATTTTGAAGAAAAATGTACTTTTGAATGGTGATTTTTTTAGAGAATATGTAATTAAAAAGTAAGAAAGGTTTTCAATTTACGTGTGAAATTATTTTATTGAAAATTAGTGTTTAAAAATGAGTTTTTGAAAAAGTGGACTCCAACAATGGCTCAGTCTGTGTTTGGCTCCCCCTTTTCAATTTCATTAGTTCCCAAATTTACTTTTAGTCACCTATTTTATAAGATTAGTAATTTTTATCTATTTTTTAACCACACGTTTTATCAATTTTATGACAATTTATTAAAAAGTTAATTTTTATCTAAACCAAATAGAGGCTTAATCTTACATGTTTAAATAGATAAATTGACAGAACTCACTTTTGAAGGTCTTATACCAATCCCACACTGGCTAAAAGGTTAAAGAGCTTAATTCAAAGTTTTTTTTTTTTTGAATTAAACTGTTTATAAATTTTTATCATGCTTAGCCTTTGTTTGATCCTCATTATTTTTCAAATACGTTTTCTGTCTCTTTTTTTTTCAATCACATATTATTCAATAAAATAATATTATATACAAATTCAAAATTTTCTTTTATTTTTTAACCACATATTTTTCATTAATATATTATTTCAAAATATAGCCCTTGGTTGATCCCCATTTTGGGGGGAAATGTATTTTGAATGGTAGATTAATAGAGAATGTGTGGTTAAAAATTAAAGAAAATTTTTGATTTGGATGTAATATTACTTTATTAAAAAATGTATAGTTGAAAATAAGTTTTAAAAAAATGAATTTTTAAAAGAACGAGAATCAAACGAGGGCTTATTCTTAAAATGAGCTTAAAACAGGTGATCAAAAGGGAGTAAGGACTAGGATTAATAAACAAATTGAGTATAGTGATCCAATTTAAATTCCTATGAAATATAGGGACCGCTACGAAATTAAAAAATATAGACCAATATTAAAAAATGCGAAGAGAATGAATTTTTTAAAACCCTCATAAACCCTCACCGGCCACCACCACCACCGCCCAGTGTCGTTCGCTGGCGCTCTCAAATCAAATTAATTTATGGCCCTTAATCGATTACAAGCCGGTCGGCATTTAACTCAAGCAGTTAAAATTCTCCAATTTTCCTACTCGTAAGCATACTACATTTTTAGAAAGTTAACACAAGGAAAATAACGTATATATGAACACACTTGTCCGTATTTGCAGGTTCAGAAGCTCAGAATGCTACTCAACTTTAGTCTTCACTGGTAATTTTTTTATAAGTTCCACTAAATTTATGCGAGATTTATAGGTTTTTTATGGCTACTGAAAATCCAGTGGAATTATTAATGGATTAGGTATTAATTCTTTAAATTCGTTGTTTATAAATATTTATTGAAATTCTTGCTGAACTTTATAATCTAGTTGATAGTTAAAAATAATATAAACCTTTAATTGGAAAAAAAAAAAAATACTCTTTTGTGATTTTGACAATGTAGAATGTGTTCTTTTATTAATATTAATACACCCTTTTCATTCTGAAGTATTTATGTATTAAGTTATTACAAGAAGTGTTTCATCATTATTTTTTACTTTGCTTTTGTGAACAGATTCTAAATGTTGGAGCAATTCCTCTTGCATCTTTGTGCAGAAGGCTCTTCCATGGAATAATAAATGTACAATATTAATCTGATACCAATTATGTAGTCTTGTTCTTATTCTACCAGTTTAGGATACCCTGGGTGTTTTTCAGCCTGTTTCCCTTTATGGAAGTATTTATGATATTGAGGGATGGCTTTTGGTCATTTTATTAGTTCCTCGAGGTTTTTACCGAAGCATTGCATATTGCGCAACTAATGGCTCTTGTGGGCTTCCTTGGACTTGTAGAGATCCAGATGAACGTCAATTGATGAAGGTACGTTTCCGGACTGTGAAATTAGTTACGTGGCTGTTGAACATGTCAACTTTTCTTTTCACAAATCTTGTCTGAGTTGAGTTGAGTTAAATGATGAATGACTGCCAAAATATCTGAAAGAGTTGTGCTTTGCTCTCATGCATCTCCAATTCTTAGATACTGGATAAACTAGACAGTTTTTTCCCTCCATACTCTTTACATGTTTCTAAGCCTTCAATTCTTTAAATTCACATTTTTCTCTGTTGTTAGGCTGCCACGTTATCAAACTTCAGTTGTATGAGGTCAGTTACCACGCAAGCAAAAGCTCCACCTCAAGCCCGACAAATGGTATGCTACTCTTTTCACTAGAAATGGAGTATTTTGAACTACTGCGATGTTCTGGTCAATTGCTTTCTGATTTTATAGCGTATAGAATTTCCTGTTATCACAAGAAAGTACATATGGGTGAGACTGTTTAGACATTGATGATTAAATATGTCATAACTCAGATGCTTGCACATTCAATGACTATATATAAGGATGTCAGTTGAAATCGCAAGTGCACAAGTCGTAACAAGTAATAAAGTGAATGAGCAAGAGTATTGTACCACGAGGAATGAAAAATTACAAATAAGTATAAAAATTTATTAAATGATGACCTATTTGACAATTTATATATAAATGAATTGTTGAGCCAGAAAGTTTAAACTAACAAGATTTGAACAGGTGAGTTAAAATCAAGGAAATAAGATTCTAGAGTTTTCGATTCACCATAACTAATCATATGTGAATATCCTAATTTAATGGATTTTAAGTGTTCCTTATTGTTGATAATCGAGTCTCTCTAATTTATTCATTAATCCTTCTCAAGCATTAACGAAATATCCAAGCAAGAAAATTATAAACCCGTCAACATTCATTAAGAACAAAGAAAAAAACCCATAAAGATTACACAAGTCCATAGATATCTCGATCCTACGGAGTCCTTGTGGTATCTCAAATATAGGCTAAAACAATTATTACTTCTCCGTCTCAAATTGAATCCCAACTTAACTGAACGTTGATCAGTCATTCAAAAGTATTAAGTCCAGGATGAAATACTCAACAATCTAAACAAATACCAATTAATTCAAGTAAAAGAAGATTCACATAATCATAATTAGGCTACATCTCCAACTCTAGAAGATAAAAATTAGTTCATGCAAAAATTAAAGAAACTTTTAATAATAGAGTTTAACATCAAGAAATTGGAAGAGATTTGGAAGAAGGAAAAACTCAGTAATTCTGCTCCTCCGTTTTCTTGGTGTCGCTTCTTCCTCTTGATAGTTGAAAAAGAAGAGAGAAAATCAATAATCCTTTCTCTCCAGCCTCCTTGGTCGAATCCCCTCTCTTCCTTCCTGCATAAACCTTTTTTCGTCCCTTCTTTCAAGCCATCTTCACAAGGAAAGAAAAATCTATCCCAAATTCACCTCGTCAATTCTGCATATTTTCAGCCTTGGATTATGGGCCATTTTTCGCTTGGAAAACGTGGGAATTTCAAAGTTTTTATTTCAGGAGAAATTGTAGCACGTTAAATTAGCTTTCCAATGTCTCTTGAATCAGCGCAATATGACGTCGGACGAGGGAGATATGGTGAAAATACTAAAGACAGTGCAAATATGCTTCCAATTCGGGATTCCTTCAACTCTGAGACGTCTTGTGCTGATTTCTTCCCTTCATCCCAAGCTATTTTCTTCTGATTGGGCTGGGTCAAGCCCACTTGAATTGAGTCCTCTCTCATGGGCCTTAAGCTTTGTTATAATTTGGCTTCATTTTTATAATAAAATTGTGAACTCCACAATTAGGATTGGCCATCATTCAGCTAAAGAAAAATGTCATTAATAATCCCAAATATCCTTGTATATTAGCAAATAATCATGAGCAATTAGCATTAAATATGCAATCTTATATACTCTATCAAAGGAACCAAAGCATCCCCGTCAACTATAAAATTGGTCGTCTAAAGATATATTATTATTATTATTATTATTATTTGGGGGTAAACGTACTAATGTTCAATATAAGAAACTCCATGTTAGTGGCACAATACATACATTTACTTTCATGCAAAAGTTACACTTTGGCCAAGATGGAGACTTAAATTAGACTGTTTGCTATAGATGCACAAAAATATGGTTTAGTACTTTTAAATTTTCCTTTAGAGGATGAAATCAAGGAGGTAGTGTTTAGCATGAATGATGAAAAGGCCCCTGGACCGGATGGTTTTTCGTTCTCATTCTACAAGGCATGTTGGGAGGTAGTGCGAGTAGACATTATGGATGTCCTTACCTATTTTTTTGAACGTGGAAAGTTCTTGAAAAGCTCTAACGTTACATTTATTGTGCTGATCCCTAAGAAAGCGGGAGCGACTGATATTGAGGACTTCCGCCCTATTAGCCTAGTCAGTGGGATGTATAAGATTATTTCGAAAGTTCTGGCGAACAGATTGAAGGAGGTGTTAGGGAAAGTAGTGTCCAAGTTTCAGAATACTTTTATAAAAGGGCGCCAATTTTGGATTCAGTACTTATAGTGAATGAATGAATTGACTCAAGATTGCGCTCGAGGGTTTTGGGAATGCTATGTAAGTTTGATATTCAGAAGGTTTATGATCATGTCAATTGGGGGTTCCTTTTGTATATTCTTAGGCGATGTGACTTTGGTGATAAATGGTGTAAGTAGATCCAGTTTTGTATTTTTACTATTTCGTTCTTAGTTTTGGTCAATGAAACACCTGAGGGTTATTTTCGGAGTAGTAGAGATTGAGGCAAGGGGACCCATTGTCTCCATTGCTATTTGTTATTGTGATGGAGGTTTTTAGTAGAATGCTTGAAAGAGCTGTGGGAGAGGGTTTGATAAAGGGGTTTATGGTTGGTCACTTACAGGTGTCCCATTTGTTATTTGCAAACTATACGTTGATTTTATGCGAGGCAGATTATGAACAATTCAGGAACTTTCGTCGTTTGCTATTATGCTTTGAAGCGGTGTCCAGATTGAAAATTAATCTGGGGAAATTTGAGGCTATTCCAGTAGGAGAGGTAGCTAACGTAGAGGTGTTGGCTGACATTTTGGGTTGTCGGGTTGTGCAGTTGCCTATGTCATATCTAGGGCTTCCGCTAGGAGCACGGTTTAAAAGTAGGCATATTTGAAATTGTATTATGGAAAGGGTGGAGAGGAGGTTAGCAGGGTGGAAGCGTATGTACCTCTCTAAGGGAGGCCGACTTACACTGATTAAATCCACTCTGTCTAATCTCCCTTCTTACTTTTTGTCGCTGTTCCCTATTCTGGCTGCAGTGGCAAGTAGATTAGAGAGACTGCAAAGGAAATTTCTCTGGGCAGGAATGGGGGAAGAGAGAAAACTTCATTTGGTTAATTGGGGTATTGTTTGTTTGCCTATGAGGATGGGGGGCCTTGGAGTTAGGAGTCTTGTTTTGTTTAATAAGGCCTTATTGGGTAAGTGGTTGTGGCGATTTGGTGTAGAGAGGGAGAACTTTTGGAGAGAAATCATAGAGAAATATGGTGTGATGGAGGGGGGTTGGTGTATTGTTGAGGGTCGTGGTTCCTATGGGATGAGTTTGTGGAGGTATATTCGACGGGGATGGAGTGATTTTCAGGACAAATTGAATTTTGTGGTGGGGAATGGTAATGATATCAGATTTTGGGATGATTGTTGGTGTGGTGATCACGCTGAAGTTAGGATTTCCTTTTTTGCACCGCATTTCTTTAGTGCCTTCTGCTATGGTGAGTGATGTATTAGTCATTCATAATGGGAATTACAATTGGAATATTACTTTTAAGAGGGGCCTATAGGATTGGGAGTTAGATGATTATTCATTGTTTTTGACATCTCTACATAAGGTACAGATTTGGGTAGGAGAGAATGATTGTAGCAAGTGGAAGTTGACATGAGATGGTATCTTTTCTGTCCGCACTTATTTTTGATCCTTCTTGGGACTTACGGAGAGTTCATTCCCCTGGAAGCTGGTGTGGCAAAGCAAATTGCCTCCATAGGTAGCATTCTTATTGTGGACGATTGTAAGGGGGCAGGTGTCAACGACAGATAATTTTCGACGAAAAAGCTTTTATGTAATCGAGTGGTGCTATATGTGCAAAAGGGATGGGGCCTATAGACCGCTTGTTCATTCATTTTGATGGTGTTCGCTGGTTTTGGAACAATATCCTAGCTTCTCAATTTATGGTTTGGGTGCTGCCAAGGCGTATAGAGGACATTTTGCAAGCATGGAGGCGAAAACTTCGTGATAAAGATAGCAAACTTGTATGGAACTTTATCCCGGGATGCATTACATGGTGTGTTTGGAGAGAAAGGAACAACCGCTGTTTCGAAAATCAAACAAAGACAATAGCGCAGATTAGGGAAATATTTTATTTGATTTTGTATAATTGGTTTAATGCCTCGGCTAAAAGTCCTGTAGAAGGGTTGCCTAATTTCATGTCGTTCCTCTCTTGCTTAAAGTGATTGTACACATCCCGTGTAATCTCTTTTAATTAATAAAATTATGATTACCTATCAAAATTTTTTTTTCCTTTTATTTTTGTTTCTTAGGTTTATCTAATTAACTATTATTAAATTTCCAACTGAGGGAATTTATGAATATTATCATGAATGTATAGACACGTGCCACTAATAATTCTAATAATAAATAAATGACAATTACATCTCATGATAGAGCTTAGGGTGTTAATATTTGCTATACTTGCACTAGGAGCTGATGTAAAATATGCGAGCCTCCCAATGAAACCAATGGCTGAAAATGTGGGAGATGAAAAAAACAAGTAGGTCATTTGTCTGTTTGGCTAGTCAAGTTTTGGGCTTTGATTATCAAAATAGCTTAAGGTGGGCCCATAAAGTGGAAAGAGAATCTTCCTACTGAGTATCTACAACATAATCAGGGTAGCGGCTGTTGCTGGATATAACTGCTGGCATCTATGGGAATTGTGGCATGAAGGTTTATCATGTTCAAGTTTCTTAGGAAGAATTTAGTGCTCTTACATACATTATACTTACTAATATCCTTATGCCTGAGCCTTTGGTTTGATAGAGGCTTCAAAATCAACAGTTTAAAGGAAACTCCTTATGAACTGAAGTCATGGATAGAGTTTCAATCTCAAGATATTACACAGTCAAGATAACATGCAAACATTCACATGCACATATCTGTATGCACACATGCGCACATCTATATGCATCAATACATACATCTATAGCTCTACTGTTTTAATACATGTTTGTTGTGGATTATGCATATAATTAAGACAAGAATAATCTAACAAGAAGGCGAACCTAACCACTCAAGTAAATTGTACAAAATACCCATTTTGTCATCAATGGGGTGTGGGATCATTCCATTAGTCATTTTCTTCTGGCATTGTCTAACTGGAAATGCACATCTGGCACATTTAGAGAGGTTTTAATGGCTGCATCTTTTTCGAATCATGAGTGCAACCTAGGAGATTCGACTACACTGATAGTGTGCTTGGTAGCTTCTAAACTAGTTCTTCAAGTTTATTAGGTCAATAAGGTCCTCAGTGTCATACTGTCATACAGTGTACTTAGTGGTCCTTAGCTTCTAAACTAGCTTCTCTTGTTCCTTCCATCTGGGCTATAATTCTTTTCCAATTTTATTTTTTATTTTTTTCCCTAAAATAATTTACCAATAGCAATGTAGGATATTGTTTGTACTCTGAAATACTGAATGTGTGTTTAATATACCTCGTTTTATCTAATTGAGGGAGTGAAGAATTATGAAAATAGAAGACTGAGGCACTTTATCTGAATGTACAAAAAGGAAAAGATAATTCCTAAGAGGATAGAGTTTTGTGAACATTAAGGCTAATATAACATCTGTAACCATTAATCTGTTGGTATTTACCGAAATTCAATACTAAGTAATTTAACGAATTTATCTGGCTAATGTAACCTCTGTAACCATTGAGCTGCTGCTATAGCGGTTCGCATATAGAAATTCAACTTAGCTTGAGCATTCCATTGAGGTTCTATTCAGTGCCATAATAAATTCGAATTAATAAAATTGGCTAGTTGAATTTCTAAATTCTCTAAAACCTGCACAGCAGAGTTTTGAATCTATTTTGTGGACCAGCATGGTAAAAATTTTCACTGTTTAGCATGAGGTTTTCAAATTTTGTTTTTGGTAGTTTTGCTGTCCAATAAACTACCCCTTTTTTTGACCTTCATCTCTGCAGGGGGCTCTTAAAGTTTCCATGTTGAGTCCTGGAATTGTATATGAGCCATATGCGCCTCGTGAACCAATCTCCTTCTGGAAAAGGTTAGTAAAATTTACGAGGGAGTTTTTTCTCTTAAATCTTGTTTGTGTTCAGCAATATATTTTCTAAATTGAAATTGAACTTCATAAAGAAATTTAGGAATTTTGGTTAGCTAGTGAAAAATAATCTAAGAACTTTAGAGGAACTATTCTAGGCTTTGATTTATTTGGTGCTTATAAGCAAGAGATAATAAGTATCCTCTCAAATATTTTCTCTCTCCCCTGCTTATAAGCATCAAATAAGCCCCACCCATACATGCTCAATCAACTGTACTTTTGGCAATTTTTCTTGAAATAATTCTTCATAAAACAAATGAGATTTTAATTAAGTTTGATGAAATGTGTGGGTGAAAAGTTGTGAGTCTCATGAAATGTGTGGTTAAAATTAATTATTGACTTTGACTTAGATTTTTATCAAGATTTTTAATCCACAGTCCAACCAAACAGGGCTGTATTAAAGATTGGATAATAGATTTTGAGTGTTCACATTCATTCAATTTAAATGACATTTGCTATTGAATAGTTTTACATTGGCCAACATGTTGAAGTTGCCTTTGATAGATACATAGGATTACACCTGTGGTTTCTCCTCTTGTGACCCCAAATTCCTTTTTCCTCTTTGGATGCAGATGGTTCACCAGAAATGGTTGGAAAAGAACTAAAGAGGATATCATTCTGGAGGTATACACATGCAACAAATTTTGTTTGATTCATGTTCAAATTATTATCCACATGATGGGAAATTTTCTTTGGGTAAAAATGAAATGATATATTTTTCATTTCTGTGGTACCTGAAAATTGAACATAAAAGCAACTGAGACTGAAAGGAACAACTACCAAGGGTTTCAATTCCTGGCTTACCTTAGTGGGAAATCTTAATGACATTTGAGATTTTTAGCAGAAGGCATTGAGGTTCCTTGTTTACTTCGTTGGTGATCCTATGAGTTTTCTTTTGCAGCTGAAAGGTGCTTATGCAATTTCAAAATTAAGGAAGTATGGTTATTCAAAAAATAAGTTCTACAATGAAGCTATTAATTTATACAAAGAGGTTTGCTTTCGTCATCTCGAATATAAGTAGATAACACAATCTCACTTTCATATTTTTAATTTCGCTATCTCCTCTTTTTGTTCTTTAATCTTTCATATTTTCTCAGATAAACACCCAAATGGCCAATGGAGACAAAGGACTATTGAGGAAAACAGTAACGGAGAACATGTACTCTGTAGGTTCCTTGATCTGTGCCATATATGCTATAAATGCTGCCTCATTGGATATATTGTGTCAGTTCATTTCTTGTCATTTGCTATCACTTACTGCTATACCTGATTCAACACTACTATCTGTCACTTGATTCTTTCAAGATAGGCCCTCAAGAATGAGATTAAGCAAAGAGGAACAGTTTGGAGCCATGTTTATTGGGAGCTAGTGGAACCTGTTGTTAAAATACGAACTTTGCGAGCTCGACTGGTAAGTATCAAAGATAAATACACTGTCATCATCTGCAGGCCAGTCTATCTCTTTCTTTACCCTGTGTCATAGAGTAGGGACAGGCTCAGTTGGGTTGCCAATTTGGTCTCTTCTAACGAAGTTTGGCGGATTCAATGAACTCCACTCTTTACATCTTTCGTTTCTCTTGTTAATAAATTATTGCTTCATTTCCTTTTATGCAGTTACTTGTGTAAGTTTACAGTGCCTTTGTTGTTTTTATACCATTTCTCCAAGTTTAGGAAAGTCGGGTATCATATTTGTGCATGTATAAAGCAACTTAAATGCAGGCCAGATAAAGTATTTTCCAATGTTTTGAAAACTCAGCTGGGCATCAATCTGGAAAAGAGTTAGGGTCAAGGGTTGAAAGGATTAATCGGGTTTAAACTGGTTGAATAGAGAGATTAAATATATCTATCATAAAGCATTACAAATATAAGTTGCAGTCCAACTATTCTAAATTAATAGTGCAATTAGAAAATATATTAAAAAGATAATTAAGTAACTTAATCTTGGTTTTACTACTCAAAAGGAAAAAGAAAGTGATATAGCATTGCCTTATTTTTGAAACAGAGGTGAATCTTCACTTGTAATGGACCACAGCCTCGTTTTTTAAATGAGAAGTATTCTGCTCCTTCACTTACTCATTTGAAGAATTAGGATAAATAGAGACTGTGCCACCGATAGTTGAGACTTGAGGGCAAAAAAATTTTCAGCGAGAGGAAGGGAAAAAATAGAAAGTGGAAAAGAAAAAAAAAAAAACAAAGGAGAAATTGAGCAGTTAGCACCTTTCTGTTATAGAAGAAGGTATGGTAAATTTCTGGAAAAACTCAGATAGCTTGAAGAATGGTCCTGCCTTTTCTTCGTTTTTTCCAAACTATAGAACCTATCAACTTGGGAAAACCATGTCGAGGTCAACTGGTTGAAGGTTTAACCGACCTTTTACAGGGTTCGGCACCAGTTTTCTAAGAGGTTTTCTATATGTAAACAGACCACGTTCCGGCCTGGTTCCCGATTTTTCCGGTTGAGCATGCCTGTCCAGTTTTCATAACAGTGGTATTTTCCCCTTTATCCGCTTATTGCTTTCTTTCGGGCAATGCATTTACTAATTACGGACTGATCAGAGGCCAGCATTCTGATTTGACCACTCATTTAAATTGATAGTCTGTTGAGATATCTATCCTTCAAGGCCACAAATTCTTTTCCTTCCCGCTCTGTCTGGCAGCTTGGTATTTCTCTTCAACATGTATTAATTAATGACCATGGCTAATCCTTGTATGAAACCTAACTGACGACTAACCTGCCACCTTCTAATAACATCTTAACATACATCTATTTTTTACAGATTGGCGTTGATCGGAATGACCTGAGTAAGGTGTTCATACAGCTTACACTAGAATTTCTGACTAGACAGGTACGGTTTCTAATAAATGAATCATGCGGTTTGTTTGAAGCTCATTTAGATGGTGTTTTCAAATGCTAGCAACAACTATTGTGTTGAGAGTGGCCATTTTTTATAGTAGAATCCATGAGTACACGTGTTCAACCATTGCAACAAGACACCGAGGCATGAAATGTATTTTGTGGGCTTCTGCAGTATCTAATGCAAAAAAATTTTAAGATTAGAGGAGAAAACATTTATTTTTTTAGGTTTTTTGGATAGGAATTAGATGGTAAAGTAATATTATTTTGTTCTTTTCTTTTTTTAGATTACTTCATTTTGCATCCTTTTTTAAATGATCTACATTGTTAGAGGGTTTCTTCTCTCTTTAGTTTTTCTTGACTATTGTGATTTAGTTACATGGATGTTGGATCCCCCCCCCCCCCCCCCGGGGGGGGGGGTTTGATGGTGCTATTAGTCAACTTGAGTATAGCCGCAGAATTGTTGGCTTATCCACGTTTTTAATTCTTCATCAATTATGTTTGAGGTATCTTATACATACGAGATTTATGTGTTTGCAGAAGTTTGAGGCATATGATTCAAATGGAGCTGTTGTTGCTGGAGATAAAAATAAGGAGGTAGGCGATTTAGTTGCAAGCTCTATGGCTGCTCTTAGTTTTTGCTTCTGGTGGTTAAAACTATGCTGTGTCTTGGAAGGTTGAGGTAGAGCCGTGATAGATGGAGAGAGCATTTTCTTTTCGAACTTTTCCATCTACCAATATTTGTCAATAATTTAATCTTTCAGGCCTTTTGTCCCTACCTTATAAATTTGTCGAGGACAGAAAATTGGTGAGAATGAGTAAACTAATCCATCCCTTTTGTTTCTCCATTCACATTCCTTTCCTTGGAGTCCTTAACGTCCAGTTTTACTTGGTCTCCTTCCATCTACCAACGGAAACAAGTATTGGATAGATCTTTCTAGATGATGGTTTTTTACACAATGCCAATTCATATTGAAAGAAATATTTAAACGCTTCTATAGTAAAATGGCATGCAGTTAGAAGAATAAACTAATCTTTCTAAAATAAGAAAAGCAATTATTCTGGTGTTTGTGTGGGTGAAAGCATCATAAAAATAGGGCAGTGATTGCTGTAGTCCTCACAATGTGAACCAATAAAAATCGTATGATGTGAAGATTGAATACAAGTGGTTGGCTATATGCGCTTTTGAGTAGGATGCATATTCTTAACTTATAGAGGCTAAGAGGTTACTAAACAGCCCAATTTCTTGGTTGATGCTACCAGTTACATTTTTCATAGAAGTCTCTGTAGCCTAAATATAGCTGGAATTGAGACTGTAATTGCACATATTCCTTTTTTTCACTTAAATTTACAGTTAATGTCTCGTATGTTTATCCAGGTTCTTGTACGCGATATTTGGGTTTTCGAGAAATCTCTCTTCCACCCTGGAGCATACTGGCGCCTATGTGGACGAATCAAAGTTTAGGTTCTTTATGTAGAATATGAGCTGAAGTTTTGTAGCTCATTACTGGCCCTTTCCACCAAATTTCGCTTCAATCCTGCAGTTTTCAATCACAGAAGGGAAGGGACGTATCAGTGTTAAGAAAAGGGAAATAATGCTGCAATTTTTGTCAAATTAATTATGCAATGTGCAGAGGAAAGGAGGCTGTGCAGAATAATTTCAATAAATATATCACCAGTATAGACTTGCAAGGTGAATTGTTTTGGTAAGTTTATTGCGATTGCTTTGGTTTAACCTTCAAACTGAGACCACCAGCACGTCGTTCGACTTTTCCGTGAGAATTCATTTTTGAACGTCGACTTTGTTCTCTCCGTCAACGGAGGATAAATAGTGCTCCTAAAGAAACTGTTGAAGCAAAGTGAGTGATTCTGTGACCGTTTTGAAACAAATTAAAAATTGGTGACCAATATAGGGTAAATGAGTGAAAGATAACTACTTCCTCATTGTGTGATATCATGTGGTTTAAATAATCTTATATGCCCTTCTGACTTTTTTGATTTCTCAATATTTTATTTTAGATGTTACTACCTTAGTATGTTATCAATAATTATGATTGATTTGATGCATTGGGACATGTCTAGGTGAGCAACTGATTTGAATTTAAGGGATTCGCTTCGGAAATGAATACTATTTTTACGAACACTTCCATGCGTACTTATTGCTCGCGCAATTGTTTTTAACCTTTTGGGGTTCAAGACAATTGAGAATTGGTGTGTGAAACTTAAGTATGTTTTATTAGTATTGTTGGGAACAGAAACACTTAGAGAAGTTGTAAAATAACGATATAACGAGATGTGATGTTCAACTTATAAAGTTATTGTATATTCTTGTCGCATGTATAATATTGGGAGCTCTCCAGTATATTCGTTGGTCACATGATCTATTTATCAGTATGAAATTTGTGATATATATTTCGAGAAATATTTGACAAGTGATATATACTTTAGTTTTTGTTGATTGATTATTTAGGAGAAAATTCAGTATTGGACAAGAAAGGACAAAAAGGTACGATATTTAATAAAAATGATTAAAGTTGGACAAATCTGGAAATTAGTGACCAAATAGCACAAAGTTGTGCATCGTAGAATTATAAGTAATGGCGAGGCGCTGGTCTTCCGATTGCAGCTTCTGAAGCGATGCGATCGCATAGGGCATTCACGTGGCAGAATTTAGATCTCCTAATTGGATTTAAATTTGACTCCTATAAACTTATGGCACGATTTCTGGCCTAAGTGAAGGTCTATTAGTAAAATTGTTTCATTCATTCAAGGAAGATGAGACGAGAGAGACGTTTTTGAGGCGAAGATTACACATTGATATTTATCAATTATCAAGATTTGTGGCTTCATTTGGAATTTTAAGGTTAATGATCATCAATTGACCGGGAGATTTACGGTCCTATCATCGAAGAAGAGTTGAAGATTTGGGTACCATCAATGTTACTTGGATTCTTTTCTTTATTCATTGTTCAATTAAGTTTTTTCATCTTTTTATTTGTTTAATTCTACAATTATGAGTGTAAATAATTTGTTGTTAGGATGAATGAAGAGGCTTAGGTTAATGTTAAATTAATTCAAAACATTTCAGCATTTTTTGTTGTGTGTTAACTATTTATTGTGCTCTGACTATATTCAATTGCTTAATCATCAATTGCTTGGTTCAAAGACAAACTGAGAATGAGGAGATATATTTATGTAGCTCATGAATTAAGTAACATATATTTTGATAAAGAATAATGCTATTTGCAGTTTTTCATTTGATGTATAATTCAAAAAATAACTATCATATCTATGTATTAAATATCAAATTGCCAAGTGTAAGTCACATAGGGCGACTATTAGTAGTCTTTACTACAAATAGCATTACTCTTTGATAATAGATGGTGATTTAATGGTGATTTAATGTATCTATGAATTTACTTAGGAATATAGTAATTTCAGGCATGTGATAGGGTTAGTTTTACTCGAGAGAAATCACTAACTAAAATTGATTAATTCGTTTGTTAAGACATGATAAGGGGTTAATTGATGTCACATTAGATAAACGTTAAATAACTAAAGTGAAATAACATTCTTAACTACTTAATTTCAAGAGCTTTCCAAACGTCACCAAACATAGATTAGTTTAGTATAATTTTAGTTATAAAACTCCAATTCTTGAATTGTTCCTTGGATGCTACTTTAATTTAGATTGAAGCTAGGGTTAGAATAAAAATTGGTAGTAGATATAGTCTCTATGGGTCACTTATAATTCATCATTATTATTTTTCATGATCAGTACACTTGTGGAATTAAGCAAATACACACAATTAGAAAGGGCTTAGGACCATATTTTCAACCAAAAAATTCACGAAACTTGGCAATTAGATTTTGGACAGTGATCCCCTTTAATTGTGATCGAGATTGAGACTATATGAGTACAACAAAATCCAAATTTTGAAGTATCAAAAGTAAGGTGATTCTACTATGTACATCTTGAATATTTATTCTTTTCCAGCAAGAATTTTTGAATAGATACTTATATTCAACCATGTTGCGTAGTCTTATTGGGAGATGTAGTGTTGGAAATACACGAAATTGAGCAGTGTTTAGTGTTTTCATCGCAACATTCTCAAAACTCCTATTCGTGCTTGGTTGGCGGCATTAGAAAGGTTCAAAGTGACAGTTTGGGATTGGGAGATTACATTTAAGAGTTGAAGAGTTTCTAGTTTTCAGTTTTCATTTATTTATCCATTCACATATTTAGATTCTATATATTAGCCTATAAATACCTTGTATAAAGAGAAGAAAAGGCAAACTTGAAATCATTTTGATTTGATAATTGAATTAGAGAATAGAAGTTATCTATTTCTTTTTTATTCTCAACTTTGTGAAGTTGAATTTGTCCTATCTTTAAATCTTTCATTTCCCACTATCTTCCTTCCCTCATAAATTGTTTGTAAAAATTCTGAATTAGGTTAGTTCTTATTTAAAACTGACGAGAAGTTTTAATAATTTGTATTTTCTAATTCAAGTTTTCAAATACTTTGGTTGAAACTTTTCTAAAGATTCCAATATTATTGAAAACTAGAATTTTTTTTGAAGCTTTCCAAATGCTTATTTAGAGTTTTGACTTAATGTGTCCGAAAGATGTATTTTTGTGAAAACTACACAGTGGAAGCCACATTAAATAGGTATAAAAATGTGACGTAGCCTCTCAGGGTATAACCCAGTGGTGCAAAAGACAGAAGTGAGGTAATCTCAGCCTTGTTGACAGTGCAATATGAGGGTTCGATTCCTAAGATATGAAATTAGACTTTTTGTGGGCACCAGTGTACGGGTAAACTTTTGTTCTCTGACCTGATAGGGTACATCCTGCGATTTACTTTTCTCACGATACTCTAGGGGTGAGGCAGTTGGGGCCCCCAAGATTGGGGTTCAACCCCTAAAAATGTGATGTAAAATTATGATAAAATATAGAAACTGTTTTGTCTTGTCCAATGAGGCACGTCATGTGGCAACCAGTCAAGAAAAAGCAAAAGGTCACTCAAGGCCGCACTCCATGTTACCTTGTCCTCATAAGCTTTGGCCGAAGCAATTAAGCAGAGGAGTGAGGTGGTTTATGCAGTTCGTCTGAAGCAACATCAACCCATCCAAAGCTTCACGTCTAAGGTGAGGGGCCATAATAAAGCATCTTCCATGACACAGCTTTAGCCTAAAGATATTCATTCAAAGATAGCTAGGCAGATTTGACAGCTCAGCAGCATGCGTTTTCAGTCAATTTTTCAATCTACTTCGTAGGTGCCAAACAAGGGATTTTCAATTTATTTAAGGTCACATTAGCCTAGGATATCTAGGATTGACACCTAGCAAGTGTGACCCATGAGTCGTTGGGATGATACCACGTGTCACATATCTAATGGTCATCACATCTTCCTGTTACTATATAAACTCACATTTAGTGTATTTCAAATGTAATGAAATTCTACATATCTACAATATTGCTTGGTCTTTTCTCTTCAACTGGATCTCATTTATTAACACATGTAGTCTCTTCCACACCTATAATATCTTTCACCATTGACTGACTTGAGCGTCGAAGCGTCCACGTCCAACTTTCCCACCGTCAGAGAGGAGGCCACGTACGTTTAATGTTTTATCCAAGTGTAAAAGAAACTTATATATGGACGATATTGGAATCGAGATCTATAGGCCATGTGTTCCAACTGTCACAACTATGCTTCATCTATATGAAGAGTTCCCATATCTAAAGAATGGGACTTTGCCTCTACAAACTACACTTCGGCTCTGTAAAGTAGCTTCATCCGTCAGAACAGAATTTTGCTTTGGTACTAATTGCCTATGCACAGGCCTCATCGACTGTCAAAGTTATTCCTCGTATGAATATTCATGTTTGGACTGGTGGGACTAATTTGTTACGTCCCATTGGACGAGGCAACTATATATTTCGTCCTAGTGTTGCCTCAAAATAAGTACCACAGGAATACTAGTCACTTACTGTAGACGACGTGGGCCATAACTTCGTTGCCTCCCCAACCACGAAAATCAAATTTTGAACAAGTAACATCAATTAGCACATTACCTCAGCCAACCTGAGCTTCGAAGGTTGTTTGCAAGCCTTGATTCACTTGATCATACCAAAGTTTATGCCTTATATAAATATTCATGTCTGAACTTGGGAACTATTGTTACACCTCATCCAACGAGGCTGATCATGTTGCAGTCAGCTAAGAAATAGAAAGAAGTCATTCAAGACCTAGAATCCACTTCACCTCATTGTTCTAAACTTTGGCCAAAGCGATTAAGCAAAGGGGCAAGATGGTTTAGGCATTTCTTCGGAATGACATCACCTCATTCAAAGCTTCACGTTCGAGGCAAGGCATCATAAGTTGTTGCAGTGTACTTCTAAAGTGCTAGGCCTTTGCTTCATAAGGCATTTTTCATGAAGCAGCTTCATCCTAAGGATATTCCATACGCTTGACAGGTTTGATAGCTCTACAGTTGTTGTAGTGACCCAAAAAAAAACTTGTGTTTCGTTTTAAAAGAAATTTTCTTGTAGAACTCAAAAATAAGGTTATATTACTACGTCACTACAACATTTTTTAAGAGTCTAAATTAAAGTTTTGGTTGCGATAGTAATGTTGCGCTCGTTTGTCTGAAAATTTTGTAAGATGTTGAAATCTTTTATAAACGACAAAATTTTATTTGATTCGGCTACGTTGTGTGTGACCACATATTTTATATTAATTGCCACTTTGTTAAGTCCTTCAAAATTTAAAATTTGATACATTTATTGTATATGCCAAACAACCCTTAAACATGATTTTTGTCCTTCAAATGACTCCCATTTTTTTTAGCCACGTTAATTTTATTTTTTTCTCTCAACGTATCAAGCTGAAATTTTTTCCTTAGGCACCCCACTTAAATATGCCACTCACCCACTAAGTGCATAACCACCCCCTATCACTAATCATTTTAAATCCCAATTTCAGTCAACTACCATTTAAAAATAATAAAATCAAATTACAACACCCCCCTTTCCGCCACGTTATTTTCTCAACCCCAAAATTGAATTTTTCCACTAAGGCACCTCATTTAAATATACCATTCACCATTCACCCACTAAGTGCCTAACCACTCCCCACATCACTAACTATTTTAAACTACCAAAATAAAATAAAATAAATTAATTAATTAAATACCATTTTCACTGATTTAAATCTCAATTTTAACTGCCAACCGCATTTGTAAGTAAAAATATTAACATCCTTCTACTCCTGTAACCACGTTTTCTCTCACAAACCATCATACATATAAATAAATTTCGCTTACCCTTTTCATAGAGTAACGACACTTTTTGAATTTAAAAATTACTCAAGGATAGTCTAGGAGCACGCCGCATTTTGTTACAAATTGGAATCAAAAGAGTATTCAAACTCCAAGCATTTAATGTAGGTGTTTTTGGCACTTTGGTAAGTGAAGTAAAAAAAATTTTGTTTTCGATTTGCATTAAACGTGCTATTGTATTACTCATGAAAAAATGGATCCCTTTGGTGGTTCAAATAAGATATGAAGTGATGATTTACTTGAAAGGGGTTATCAAAACCTGAGAGTAAGTAGACTACCTTATCACCAATTCGATTTGCAAAAGTTGACGGTGACCCAAATAACCAAAGTTTGTATTTCTGGAAAATGTATATTTTTTCATCGTTTGCTTAATTGTTTTCGACTAAGTATTACCCGTGGTACTCAATCCTACTATAATTTTTCAGGTTAATTCGAGATATGGCAATAGTTTGGCGTAGTGGCAAGTGCTCAACATTTGCAATGCTTTTAACTTTCCAGTCAAATGTCTAGTAGTGTAAAACCTTTATGAACGCTTAGATGATACTTTTAAAAATGTTTAAATGTCTATTTCGTCTAATTTTTATATATTGCATTTCAACTATAATTTAGAAATGTTGGATTGACTATGCATGAAGTTTAGTTATTGTAGAATTGAACTTTAAGATTCTGTCCTCCTACTTAAAAATGGCATAACATGGGCTACAGTGCATGTTTTAGAGAGAAATCAGTAAGATTTGAAAGGTTTACGAGTCTTTTAGTAGTGGTCTTTGAAATTACCTCAAAATATTAACCAGAGAAAAAGTTATGTCTATTTTAGTAGACTGCTTCGGGTCAGTTTAGGAAATACTATCCAGCTAAGTTGAAAAATATTTTTGTGTTTCAAACGTTGTCGTTGGGACCCCAATTTTTTTATATGTTGTAAGTATATGAATGTTATAGCCTCTGTCAAAATTTCATAAATTTTAGTTGACATTTGCTAGGCAAAACATATTTTTCTTTCTGCTGTTGAGCAACTCGTATTTGTTGAAATTCTCTCTAATGTTTTCCAAAATCAAATTACTACATAATTGTCTAAGTCGACAATTATCTCCCATTACTTTTTTTTATATATTTCAAAAATCCAAAATTTTTCTTATTTACAATTTATTTTGATTAGCATTAAAAGGTTTAAACTAAGATTTTTTTAATGCTTTCAGTTCCGAGAATTTGTGGTGTTACAGGTGTTTTCTATGTACTTTTCAGGTGGTAGACATAGCAAATAGCATGGCCACTTTTTAGTTCATTTAAGGTCGTCATAAACTTAGGACAACTGGGGTTACACCTATTAGGTGTGACCTATGAGCTATCGGGATGAAGCCACGTGGCAAACATCCAATGGACATCATGTCCTTTTCCCTTTTATTGTATATGCTCACACTTAATATCTTTAAAATGTAATGTAATTCTATACACCTATAATATTGCTTGATATTTTCTCTTCAACCCGGATCCCATTTACTCACGTCCATTGTCTTTCCCACACCCATAATACCTTCTATTATTGCTGATTTGAGTGTCGAAGTGCCCAAGTGCCTACCTCACCATCGGAGAAGAGGCCACGTTCATCAATGCTTTGTCTAGTTATGTGCGAAACTTACACGTGAACAGGAGTAAAGCCGGGGCTTGTCGGCTACGTATTCTCGTGATATTTCGGGATCAACAGAAAAATCCCAATTCCCGTCACCCATTAGAAAACAGTGCCTCACTTTTCTCCTATAAGCACCACCCATTAATACTTAATTCTTAACCTATATTAAAAAATCCCAAGTTACAACTGCAGCAGGTATTATTTGCTTAATTTCTAGAGCACTCTTTGGGTAAAGCATTGCTTAAAACCCTTTTCTTGGTTTAGCTTTGGTTTTGCTTAAGGAGAAGAAAAGCATATTTCCAATGCAAATATGCCTGACTTCATCTTCAATACCTATTTTTCTGGTCTAAGATAAGATAAGATTGTTGGGCTGCGTTCAAAACCAAGAAAGATGATCCAAGAAGATGGAATTCATTCGTTGGCAATTGCATGCAGATTGTTAAGGTTTATTGTTCCTTTTGTAATCCCTTTGTGCAATGGTTTAGCAGTGTTCAGAACATTTGCAGGCCAAATATGGATATTCTTCGCTGACCAAAGTCAGTTTTTGTGTGATTCCATATTGGAGGAGGTTGCTGAAGAGCCTGGGATTTTGGGTCCTTTACGTGATAATTGTTCTTCAAAAGGTAAATCGTACCATCCCTCATGGTGGAGTATTACTAACTATTAATTTTGAGTTTTTTTTTCTTTTCTTTTCTTCTACGGATTCTTTGTCAATTGCATTATTTTAATTTAATTTTAAAAACGATCTTACGTTAATTTGCTTCTAAAGAAACAACATAAATTGAGGGAAAATTGCAGTATCGGTCACCAATCTTAATGTTAGTAACAAATTTGTCCCCAACCTAATGTCTTGACACGAACAGTCTCCAATGTTCAAGTTTCATTGCATTGCTTATCCTAATGGATAATTTCTGTCCATTCAAGGTTTAAAATCAAAATTCAAAAAAGGACAATTGTATCCTTATATGATTAAACCCCTGTATGTTATTTATTTATTATTTATTTTTTTTTGGGAAAAAGATGCTTTGGAATAGTGATTTTTTTTAAAGAAAGTGTGGTTAAAAAATAAGAAATTATTTTGAGTTTACGTGTAAAATTATTTTATGGTAGAATGTGTGGTTGAAAATGACACATAAGAAACAAACGAAAAAATAGAAATAAAATTTTGTTATGTCATCTCTATACCATGTCACCCCGTCCACTCCTATTATCAGTCGCCTCCCAAAACCAACATACATCAGCCACGGTTTGTTTAAGTTGGAATTGGGTGTTGGGACGAAGAGGGGTTGGGTGGCAGACGGTGTGCGTGGAGTTGGGGGGTGCACCGTTGAACTGGTGTGAGGGTGATTGAGGAAGATGTCAAATTTTTTTCCCCCTGTTTTTTGCTGTTTCTTATAATATATGTTTTTATAAATTTTAGAATTAAGCTAATTGTACACCTTGTTTGACACACTTCCATATGCTAAAAATTTGATTGATGAAGATGTCAATTTTTTATTTTTATTTTTCCTTTTTTTCCTATTTTTTGCTGTTTCTTATTATTATATATGTTTCCATAAATTTTAGAACTAAGCGAGTTGTGTGCATGCATTGTGTACACCTTTTTTGACACCCTTCTATATGTTAAAAATTTGGCAATTGATTGAAAAAAAGTGTTGTTAAGATCAATGTATAACAATCTGCCAACTCACATAGGTACCAAACTAAGTGGCAACTTTGATGTACATATAGCATGGTTGTAAATTTTAACTTCCAATAAACGTGTTATTGACCTCAAAAAATGTGCAAACAGAATTTCGACAGCTCCAAGTAGATATCAATTACACACTGGAACACTCCATTAGGAGGCAAAGGTCGCGGGTCTAGAAAAATTCGAGAACCGTTTACATTCCAACAGTCAAGTCAATTGTCGGACGAAAGAAATATGAGTATAAGAAATGGGAGAGGAAGTTTGGCTAGAACTCGAATAATATACCTTATTATGAAATGAACTCACATATATATAAAGAAACAAATGGGCCAAGTGAGCATGATAGGCCGAGCTCCAAGTCCAATATGACGTTGCTTGATTAAATAGGCGAATCCAATTCCAAGATGCTATTATTTGATTAAATAGGCCCAATCGATTGAATAATCGATGCCATGTCGACATATATGGAACCCCTTCCATCGTGGACAAATGTTGCAACGAAGTCGAAATGTTGGAAATAATTTAAGTGGGCGATAAAACTGCTAAAATACTTCGTGGTTGATCAAAGGATCAGTACTGCAATTTTTCCTAAAATTAGTTACAAAAGTAATTTTTTTTGTTATTATAAAGATTTTTAGTTATCTTATTCTGAATTGAGAGGAGACACGGATCCAATATGTTGCAGATAATGCCTTTACTTCTATAAATATAGAAGAAAAGAACAGTGAAGAAGTAGCAAAAGATGTGAATTCGACAGTTACGAGGAGTCAAGTAAGAGCTCCAAAGAAAATTGTTAGCTTTAATGAGAGTGTAGAGGAAATACTACCAAATAGCTCGAGAAGGATAAAGACGCCTGGTTCGAGTTGTACACTACAATGCCAGAAAGAGGAGGCTAAACCCTTGAAGTCCATTCTCAAGGTGGGTTCTAAAATATTTCAAAAAGAAATTATCATCTGTAATTAGAGATTCAAAAGTCAATTTGTTCGAGATTACGGTTACGATATGTTTTCTACCCTCTATATTAAATCTAAGGTTCATTACCGAAGCTAACGTAAATAATAAAGAGAATTCCTCCCAATATTTTCTAAACTTAGTCTTCATCGCTACTATAGTATTAGAAAAATGAAAATCTTTTATATGTATTTAAATATTAAAAATATAATAAAATAGTGAGAAAAGTCAATCAGCAAAATATTATACGAATGAACGGGAGTTCGTAGAGTTGTAAAAAGCATTAAAATTTTTCTCACATGTAATGAAATTTGTCAAACATGGTTTTTTGAAATCATATTTTAGATCGTGTGAGTGTCGATCATTGTAATAGCAGTATTGAATTTCGTCGAGTTCTGTATATGACTTACATCTTTGATAAACAATCTTGCTTTTAGTCCATTTTTCAAATCATCCAGCACTTGTTTCTACTAAGGGAGATTGTAATTTTCTAACGGTCTTTCTATGAATTTTAGTCCATCTTTGTCAATTAAATTAAAAATATGACAAACACAATGAACATGAAATAGTGTACTACCAAAATTGGGGTTAAGTTGTCTAGCTAATTGTTTAATTATCACTGCATTGTCAAATGTAATGATGATTTTTAAAACATTAAAAACATTGAGGGTTAAATATTCGGAGAATTCTAAGTGTACATAATTTAATTTACCTACTCTTACAAGCATGTGGACCCCGCGTGAATAAAATAATCCCAACATGTGGTCCCCACACCCCTATTACGAGTGTATGTAAAGCATTAAGTAAAAAAAATTAAATACATCTAGTAAGGTCCTAAATATTCAAATGGCTATTGAACTTGAAGAAAGTAAGCGCACAGGTTTTCTTTACAGCGCGATTAGCAAACCTTTATTTTTTGCTAGCTGCCAATAGGACTGCACCAAGTGGAATTCTGTAAAACTGCTGTGAAGAAAACCCTCTACACGTAGCATTGCTAATTGAACTTTGTATAGTATTTTTCATTAACCATTAAAATTTTAAAAGTCTTTTTAGATCATCTCGAACTTATCACGTGGTTATCTCATCCATCATCCTGTTAGAAATTGGACAGACTTGTTGATTTGATAAACGAAAACAGTGACATGGCACATTATTATCGTTAGTTAACAATAAATCAATAAAAAATGTGCTCATAAAAATACAACTAACTGGAAAACAGCAATAATATTGTTACGCTCCTATCTTAACCACTTCAGAAAGCCTACCACTCCTTAAACGAGGTGTTCAACACCCATCCGAAGTGGTCCGAAGTGACGCCACCACCAATGTTGTCAATCTGTTAACGCACTGCGAAGCACAGACAATCTACTGAGCCGACCGAAGCGTCCTCGCCCCTGAAGCTGGGGCGAAGTACATCCCGAGGTTCTCTGTCAGAGGATCCGCCGTCAATTTCAGAAAGAGATCTATGTCAAGATCCTTTTTGCCCTCAAGATTTAATTGATTTGACGTCTCCTGAGCCTAATTAATGTGACATATCAACTTTACGTCCACTCAATTCGGGAGAAGTAATTACCCGTCCACTCTATAGACGCGGCTGATTGACGCCTCTCACCGTCAGATTCGTACACACATCCCATATCCAATTGTTCTCCTCACCTATAAATACCTAAGGTTTGACAAGAGGCAAATGTAATGAAACTCTTGAAACATAGCTTTCCATAACAAGCATTTATATATCCTCCTCCCCACTATTTTGCACAATCTTGGTATTGTTCCGATCACCTGAGGCTAACTTAATCATCGGAGTGTATGCGGCCGCCACCACCCTTGTTAGTTCCGGCCGTGTACATCTGACTATGCGTTAACTGTGCGCAGAGAAGAATACGTGGAGTAACTATCGGTTGGCCACGTGGAGGGTCCAATTTGCGAGGTCAACAGATTGACGCCGTCTGTGAAAAACTTCTCATCCAAAGTTCTGCTTATAAAAGTGCAACTAACTGGAAACAACAATAATACCAAATGAAAAATACAGGTAAATAGAATAAGTAGAGGTTAAAATTCAATGGTATTCTTTTATAAGCGCTTTTAATGGATAGAATTTTGGCTGATTTGTTGTCAAATAAAGATAATAATGTGCCATGTCAGCTTTTTAATTTGTCACATTTGCAAGTGTGTTAAATTTTCTAATGGCAAGTTATTGAATGATGGATGAGATCAAAAATTGATAAATTCAATGACAATCTAAAAAACTTGTAAAATTTAATGATAAATGGGATAACAATTAGATAAGTTCACTGACCAATTGAAAAATCATTAAAATTTTATGACTAATGAAAACATAGTAAAAAATTCAATGGCCATTTGGATTTTTAACCCCATTATGGGGATATTCAATTTCTTTAAATATATATGTATTACTTGCTGTTTGTCTAATGTAGTGTGCAATACTACCTATGTAATCTTTATAGTTATTACCGAACCACAAGTTAGACAAAAATGATAAAATACCAGTATATTTATTTTAATTAGTTATTATCCGTACCTTTTTTTTTTTTGGTACATTTAGCATATGAATGAAAAGTGTTTCTAGAATAAGATTTGTACCTAGATTGATAATATTTTTGTATGAAATTGGCCGCATGTGAGTTCTTTGAAGGAAAGGGGAGGCCTGAATCAACATTGTTGTTTACTCTAATCCGATCGAGGTAGTTTTTGTTTACCAGCATGTAGGTGGTCTAAATTCATATTATCGAGTTTACTTGCCTTGTTAATATCTCTTCTTAATGTATTAAATAGGATCTCTCTACCCAAGAAAAGTGGTAAATTTCCACTAACGGCCTTCTTGGCTTAGTTTCCACAATGCAATTTTGATAGGAGTCAGTAGTTGAGTATTGAATCCCTTGACATGGGCGATTATCACTACACTAAGTGAAAACTCACCGCTAACTACGAACATTGACTTACCTTCATGGATTGTTTCTTGAGAATAGATTAAATTGTTACGACTAAAACTACAAATTGTACCATGACAACCAAATTGGAAATTGAGCCTGATTAGTTTCCGAACATTTATTTGATTGAACATCTTTTGTTGTGTCTACTTAGATGGGTCTTGTCGATAGCTTTTTAGTAAAGCTAACATCTATTTGTAGTATTTAAATTGTTCTTTGTGCTCTAGCTTCCCATATACTAATGTACCCATGGTCATCAATTTAAGGGTTCCTAACATTTAGCCATTTGTTTAGTTTTTCGTAGTTTATTGACGAACTTATCGTCACCATTTCATATTCTTCTTCAATACATCTAAATTAATTGGATTCGTGCTCCCATAATCATCTCCAATATCATTTGGAACTGGATAATCATTTAGACTACTAAACGATCTAATGGCAAAGTAGGTTTTGGTGTATTAGAAGC